TTGCATTGTCATCAGTTTCTAAGCTATCCTGAAAGTTTCAGCTTGCTAGCTAGTTGGGAAGTGAGCAAAATTTGAGTTGCAAAATTTGATCCAGACAAACAAACAGACAAGAAAGCAAGTTAATAAATAAAAACATGTTAACACAATAGGGCAATCCAGTTTGACAGGAAAACAATGTTGGGGGATGGCAGTTGGCAGTTTAAAGAGGTTTTGCCATCCCTTCAAGCTTAGACAGATTTGTTAGGGATGAAATTTTGGTGGCAACCAAGGGTGGTGGTTTATTGGGGGGCGGTCTAATGGGGGTTAACTGTATAAGGATATACCTATTACGAATGAATTATACGATATAAATTTGCCATTTGCTTCAGCGACATAGTTCTGGCTTCGGCGCGATTGGAATGGAATATTACAACCCAGTGCAAAGTTCTCTTCAAATTAAAATAACAGCCTGAATATTTGAATGCAAACCCATAAAAAGGGACTTTTTTTGTTTATAAAGTCGCGCGGATTCTTTATTTGGAAATGTTCGGTTGCTGCATTCGCGTTCACTCCTTGATGATGACAATGCAGCAGTGCAAACCAAGTGTGTTGACCAAATGTATGAAAATGCGGTGAACTGGAGTACTGCATACACATAATCGGTTATCTCAATTCCGACTAGGGGAATACTTTATTCAAGTGCATCCCGAATAGACGCCATGAGAAAGTCGCCTCAAACGTTTACCTGTAGACCCACGAGGTGAGTGAGTCACATTTTATTCAGGTAGAAGATTTTTCCGAAAGAAAGGAAGATGAGTACAGTTTTTCACAAAGACCGTGTCATATTCCTGTCGTGAAAATACGGACTTTGTAACAATTACCTCACTTCCGAACGTAATTTCTTTCACTTCTTGCAAATAAAATGCAACTTTTCTAGTGGACGAATGTCACCTTCCATGTTGTGTAAATATTGGAGTACACTTCGACCCTTCAAAACTTCCTTGGCTCCAAAAAAAGTTTCTTGAACAAAACATTCATCAATCATACAGTGCCTCATTTCTCCACAGCAGACTTTAATTGCAAACCAAGTAATATGTTCCTGGCAACCAAAACAGAGTTGAAAATCCAGTGAAAAAAGACAAATATTTAATTAGAATGAGTTACTGTAGCATCCATGTGTATGTTTAAACTGTTTTGGAGAGTTGAACAGACAGAGTGAATCATTAATAAAAAAACCTCAAAAAACTTCAAATCCAGAAAGAAAATTTGAACTGTCATTGGGATATGAAATTTTAATTTTAAAATGCTGTAACGAAAGAACAAATATATTTGTTCCTCTCACCTTTGTTCATTTCAAAAATTAGAGCAAGCTCTGAAAATCCAATGCAGTAAAAAAAATAAGCATAACATTAACGGACCTGCCCCAAGATTTATTAATTCGTACATGCCAGTCCTCAGTGTAAACATCCTGCTATTATAACGATTTGTCGTAAGTTCGTTGTATTGTGATATAATTACCTTGGAAACGGTTGTTGTCAGTTGACACGCGAATCAGTCAAGCACAGCCCATTTTTTTCGTTTTCGAGCAACGACAGTAAAATAAAATTAACAAGTAGCGCGAATACTTCTTCCGCGCATAAACACGCGTTAAAAAGTTTACGGAGACGGTAATTTGGCCCAAAACCAGCAGAAACCCACCAGTACAACAATTCCAGTCCAATGCATCGCGATGCACGGTCAAAGCCATACGTTGAAACACGAACCGTGACGAACGAGGTTGCCAGCTCGTATTTAATCACCTTCCCCCGCTGTCTGATGCTTCGAACCACGTTTCCACGCCATTCAGGGCGTCGTTGCTGCTGGCAACACTACTGGTGCTCGCTAGCTGCTTCAGTTTGAGCCGTGGTGCCGCTACGACGCCGCCAGCACAGCTCTTGCAGGACGAAGTGACGATGGAATTCCAAATCACTACCATGTGGGACAGTGTTCCGGTGCAGCACAACCCTGCGTCGCTAACGCTGACCGGGAAAGAAGATCACTTGGAGCTCAAAGTTGAAGCTCCTTTTTTCAACGACGTCGCTCCACCTTGTGCAGAACCTGGTCCTTGTTTCGGTCTTTGGGACTATGAAGGTGAGCTGTCATTGCTTTGTTGTTGGGTCTAAATATTGCTTCAGCTGGTTATTTTCGTAATAAGAGGCATGCGCGAAAAAGAAGTGAATTGCTCTGCAGTAAAGAGGATTGAATGCAGCGACATCTACTTCTAATTTTTCAAAACTTTGAGCGCTCGCCGAAAATATGGGCCGACAGGGTACGAACTCTGAATTTTGTTTTCCCAGATTTCATACACGGTCTTCGTCCACGAGAGCCCGTGGTTTTCTTCATTGACGTTCGATATAGGTGAGGGAACAAAGGTATTTTGTTAAGTTTGGATTCGTCGAGTTCAGCAGAGAGCACATTAGCTCAGATCAGGTTGATAGGACCGTCTGTGTTCAAACCGGTGTTGATCGGGTCAGCTTCGTGATTCCACCGACACCTACTTTGTATTCCAGGAAATAAGGACGGGCCTTCGAGAACACGAGGACAACAAAATTAAAACTGCGCTAGATTTTTTTTCTTTTAATGCCAAATACGTCCCCGAAATTACGATTTTCGTTCGCTATATACAGTATATTTTTGAATTTACATAAGCGGTACGAATAACTTGCTGAAATTGGACTTGGAATTCAAGAGACCAGAAACGCAAGCCAAGCAAAACCACCTCCCAAATTTCCATATGCCGACCATTGAGTTTTGAATCGGTTTGTAGGATAGTTTTCGTTTCCGTATGGAAAGTTGGGAGAGGCGTTTCCCCTCAACGATCAGAAGGATTGTAAATGTTCTCTAAGATAGATGTCGCCTGAATCACGTTACTGTACATTCGAAGAAATTCAACTTCTTACAGGAATTTCTATAGGATCATCCAAGCTGTTGAGTCTGGCTCCGGGCAACAAACGCATGCGATTTCACTATTTCAGGAAAAATAAAATGTTGAAATGTAATGTGTAAACAATTTTTTTCCAGTTGTGGAAGCCTTCTTTCTGGCACCGGATAACAAATATATCGAGATCGAGGTCGGCCCGTGAGTATATTGAAATCTTATTTATTTTGAAAACCGCCTGATATTCAATGGATATGAATGGCTGACGAGAAAATGTACTGTACCACATTTCAATAATTACCAAATAGATTGGGACATCATCTGATACTTCTGCTGAACGGAGAGAGAAACGCTATCGCGCAAGAGTTGCCAATGGAGTACAGCGTCACGTCGCAGGAAATCGGAGGCACTTGGACTGCGACTGCGAAAATCCCCCTGGGCTATTTTCCTCCCAAGGTAGATGGGTGGAATGCTTACGCCATTCACAACAATGCCTCGAACCCGCTGGGAAGGGACTACCAGAGCCTGTTTCCTGTGCCTACTGGTGAACTGCCTGCTCCAGACTTGTAAGTCTTGTCCATCAGCAACAGTCATAATTACTGTACACTGCCTGGCAAAGCTAGACTCATCTCGCAATTTATCAGACAGTAAATGTATCACAGTCAACGTGCCGCGAAAAAGACCCCGTAAAAAGACCCCACCGGAAAATGCGAACCCCTGTCTTCAAAACTGGTGTACAGTAATTAAAAGTCCAAATCGAATTGAACCTTAACAGGAGTAAAAAATATTCTTACCTGCATGTATGTAATATACTTCCAATTATTGCAGTTCCACACAAATAACGATCTATGTGATAGATGCTCTTCCCCAAAATTTCAGCCGGAAATAAGCGGAGTATTTCCAATATTGTTTTGATGCATCGTGATCAAATTTGAGTGCTGTGCACGAGAAATTAATCCGAATATGATTGAAAATCTGTGCACATGGCTTGAAAAGAATGCACAATAAACAAACTGTGAGCTACTCAAATATTTCAGAACGCCAAATCGCGTAGAGTTATTTCTCAACTCCGACCGATCATGAGACAATCGATCAAAGCGTTCAGTAGTATCAATGCAACAGATTATGCTGATCACCTTCAGAAAACTACTGTTATTAGTGATCATTCAAGAAACTTGAGCAACGGTATATGCTGTACATAAACGTGGAACTACGAGCTGATCAAAGTGTTGTGGAGAGAATGCACTGAGAAAATTCCAGTGACGGTTTTCCCTTCACTCTGAACTTTCATTTAATTTAAAAATCAGTTTTCACTTAACTTTCATCATGAGAAGGTCACTAGCACACTGTTGTAATTATTCCTTTTGATCTTCACGCATTGTACTGTATATCTCTATGCAGATTTGGATTTTTGCACAAATTTCTTATTCAAAGATGTTGCTCAATGTAAGGAGTTCCAGTGTTCCTTGTATGTGAACTGTGTCATATCTTTGCAACCACATTATACAATTAATCATTCTGAAAATAACTATGGAAATATTTTCAAGGTATCTTCTTAAATGTACCTTCTCATACAACTGCACAATGTCTGATTCTCCTCAAATTAAAAAGGTGGACGTGGAAATTATACAGTCAATAAGACAAGTCAAGTTAATGACGACTTGTAGTTCATGACTTATTTTCTATGTTTTCGCCGTTCAACGAAAACCTTATTTATCGAGACCACGAAGGTAAATAACATTAAACATATTGAGGTCAGTACTTCTGTCAGGTCATATTGCCAATCTTCAATGAGAAATACTGTATACAGTACTACTTTTCTTCAAGTGACCGTTGCATCCAAATCAGTTTATTTACTTCCACAACAGTGATTATACATTGAGTTGTGCAGCTACAATATGCTTCTGATGGTGCAAATGCATTAGCTTGTACTCTTATGCAGGCAAACTCTCTCTACATCAAAATTCAGGAGTCCAGGAAAAAAAATTATTTACAGAGAATGGAGAGCACCCTATGCTGGGATCAAAAAAGAAAATCATTCTGCAGAGAATAATGTAGATTAGATCGTTGTACAGAGCGTCAACCTTTACAGTGTACAATTAATTTGTGCAAAATAGTTTAATTTTTCCACCTGCACCTTTAATATGTCAGTTATTCTGTTCAGTTCAATTACTGCTGAACATCAAGTACTGAATAAAAGATACAAAAGCGGCAAGTTGCTTTTGGAATAAATAGCTCTGGTGAAAGGTAAATAACATTTAAACATATCCAGGTCAGTCCTAATAGTTCTGTCAGGTCATATTCCCAATCTTCAATGAGAAATAATGTATACAGTACTACTTTTTTTTCAAGTGACTGTTACATCCAAATCAGTTTATTTACTTCCACAACATTGATTTTACATTGAGTTGTGCAGCTACAATATGCTTCTGATGGTGCAAATGCATTAGCTTGTACTCTTATGCAGGCAAACTCTCTCTACATCAAAATTCAGGAGTCCAGGAAAAAAAATCTAAATGTCTCTTACCTCTCGTGGGATACGACCCTAGTTTTTTCTTTTAGTAAGACGTCTCTTATTACATCTAATCTAGCAACATGTCTCGCAGTTGGAAATGTCACATGTTAATTAAACACGTTTTACGTATGGATTGCAGCTTGCACGTCGTCATCATCATCAAAGCCCCGGTCGGAGTTTCTGATTGTCCCAAGCAATTGGAACCTTGTGAATCGCGACCTGCTGAACTTGTTTCTTGATGGGACCTGGACTTCGTTTTGTACAACTCTCATCTCTTCGTGTCTCCTTGGAATGCGTGTTGTTATCCAGCACTGAGTAGACAGTGATTTGACTTGCAGTTGAAGCAGCACTTCCTCCTGCGGCCAAAGATCTCCGCTTCCGCGAAGAACTGAAATCCGCCTTGATTGTCCTGATTTCCCATGCTACTGGCACTGCAATGATGAAGATCGCCACGATCCATGCCCATGCCTCTGCCATTGCAATCCAGGAGTTGAAACCTAAAAGCACATACAAGTTGCTATGTAATACGCATCAAGGGATGCAGCACATGAGAGACCCTTTTTCGGATGTATAGGTCTGGGTCGGGTATTCTACAATGAATTAGGAAATTCAGCAGTGGATACTCAACAAGCGGACGACCCAAAAACATCCAGAGATTCAACTCAGGGACACCCTGGGGGAAAAAATAAAAAATCTGCCCCGAACATCTGGACAATGTCCTAATAAGTTACAAACAATTCTATGACAAAGTTCTTTCCAATGCATTTCTGGAAACTGTATAAGTTTCTAGATGAAAATAATTCCCCACTGCATAAAAGAGTTTCTGCCTCCATCATGCAAACTAGCAAAAAAGTGTTGGTTTCCAAATGGGTGAAAACTCCATTCCAATAACCATTCTAACAGAAGCCCATCAAACTGCACAAGATTTTTATGACAACCGTGAAAATGAATGCTCTGTAACCTATTTTTTGGGGTGTGTGAGACAATTACCTGTTATGGTTACGGGTAACTGTTATTCATGGGAGTTTCACTCATCAAAAAGGGAAATATTTTCTTGGATATTTGGCTAAGGCTATATATGGTTGCCTAATCATGGGCCAGTCACTCAAAATTTCTTCAAACAACAGAAAATATTTCCCAAATATATAGTATATCTAGAATTTTTTAAACAAGTCATTGTGAATCAGTTCTTGCTACACATTCGAAAAGAACTATTCATATAGCGCATTGATTGCTAATTTATGTTCAAGTTCTAGAAAAAATTTCTCACCAATAATCGGGCTTTCTACATGCTCCTTTTCACTGAATAAATATAAAATCTAATTTAAAAAAGAATAATCAAAACTTTTCTTAGTTTGAAAAATGCGATTTTTCAGAGCATTTATACTTTATACAATAGTAACATCTCAGGATTGCCACACCTGCGCAAGTAGCGTCCACGATTCAAGCATGGAGAAAGAAACTCGAACTGACCAGTTTTCAGATATAAAAATTATCATCTGTTTCATAATATCCAATTCAGGTACGAATGGAAGATATGTTCACTTCTGCGTTGCAGATCGTTTATTTTGTTGCAACAATAGGGTTCATAAAATTCCGGTCGCATCAAGGTGATCCCTGGGGAAATCTTCCCAGCTTCTTTTCGAATAGCAGAGGCCCAGAGGGGGTTTCTTGAAATATCCATCGGACGAGTTTCCTTGTACAGAACAAAATTGACCTGAATAGCCAGGGAAATGTACATTTCCATCCCTGCTCTCGAAAAATTCTCATTCTTCAATGTTTCTTGTAGAAATGTTTCTTGCGCCAGTATGATGCACACACACTAAAATACTTACGTAACTAAAACATTCAGGTGTGTGTGTGATGTGTCCATGTATATAGGGAGTGGGTGACCCAGTCAGACTTGACAAAGCCACTCGATTCCACCTACCTTCTGTGTGGAGTATGATTCCCAGATTGATTTTTCCATGGACAAATGTATATTGGGACCCCAGCCTACAGATGCCCCAACATATGGTTGATGTCACTCAGGGACACTTTGAACTGAAAAAATCTGCCCCTGATATTTGGACAGAGACTCTAGATACAGACCCTTTTCAAAAACAGGTGGTACCTTGAAATTTGACTGTCCCACAATTTGATGGTCAAATTTGCTCAGATGTCAAGTTGCAATTTGAGCTGTACTCTGCAACTCAACCTGCAGTGAGACCCAAAATGCCAAACTTGATTTTCAAAGCATCATAAAACATTTGTCATTGTTTAACAGTAGAACTGCTTCAAAATTAAACCCAAACCTGGCAACAGATTATGATCAAATTGCAGGTCACCACCTGTTTTGCTGGTGGAAAAACTTGTTTTGAATTTTCGTATTCCCGGAAGAAATTGAGCCATTTACTCATACGCATCTACGGAAAATAAATTTTATTTAAAATTACCCAAAGTATTAATCAAAAGCAAGTAATTTTTGTGCTTCTTTTTTCAGAGTTTTTTCCATCATGTGTCCACAGTATTGCTGCAAGAGGTGATCATGTTCCTTGCTTCTTGAGCTCCTTCTGATGCCAAAAGATCTGCTTTTGTTGGGTTTTCTCCTGTGCAATTTTGTTTTCTGCATCTTTAAGCTGAGAAAAAGAATTTTATTCGATTTTCAGGAGACTGTATTCCTTACTTTTCATGAGCAGGTGAAGAAATTAAATATTTTCTCATTGAAGCCACTGTTGGGAAGAGAAGATCCTACATTTGGACATTCCTGACATATGGACAATGAGATCCAAGCACAAATTACGTCCGGATCTCGGGATCCCAGTGTGTTATGTACCAGCTACGTAATATCTGTCTATATTTTTCCTTGCACTTGCCTGGCAAATCCAGAACGCCCAGCAGCGATTGAAGAGCAGGCCATGCGACGACCAGGATCAACGTGAGCAATGTGGCTCCGATGGATGCTGTCAGTCTCACTGACCTGAATTTCCTTTGGATCGTAACCAAGGCCGGTCGCACGGCATTTGCGATTTTGTTTCCGGGAAGCAGGATTCCGTGCTCTCTATATAGGAAAAGAGTAAAGTGGTGCGAATTTAAAAAATGAGCTGTTTGATTCTTCAATACATGCCCAGTGTTCGAGCTGCCTGTATAGCAAGGTACAGGCAAAGCTCCCAGAGTCGAGCATTATTTGGTTTATTGAATACTTTTTCAAGTCTCTGAGTGAATTCCCTTGGGATAAATGTATCAAACCTTGGATGGCTGCAGCCTCCTTTCCATCCCAGGGCAAAGTGGAAATTTTCCCCCTTGGGCTTGTATTATGTTTTTGCACAAGGTTATGCAACCCCTGCCAGGTGGGGAAGGGCAAAGTTAGATTTTATCTGGGGATAAAGAAATGCTAAGAAAGTCCTGAGTTGGACTTTTTCTATATTGATCTCTAACCGGGGCTCCTGGCTTTCAAGCTGTAAATTAATTTTTGGATGAGGGAACAACACAATGCCAGGGAAAAAAGGGAATCTCAATGATTTAATTTACATTTCCAAGTGAAATTTTTTGGTGAAAAATTAAAAAATCAGGATTTTTCCTGACTTCACCCCCTGCACATTGTGATGTTGAAAAATGCCATTCCTGAGTGCACCCAAAATTTATGAAAAAAAAGTCTTTCTTTGCTGCAGAAGGGTTAAAAACATGGCTCTCTTCTGGAACCGCAACATAACAAGAATTTTATCCCTAACCTTCTGACTATTGTTTTTTTTTTGTCACAGAAAAGAGAAAAGCAATACAAATTGACCTTGAGGTGCTTCAAGAGGAAGCACAAGACTCAGTGGGCGATCGAACACTTGCCTCCCAGTTTAGTAGATTGTAAACTCATTGAAGAAGCAATTTAAGGTCCAGAATATCACCCATTACAATTTCCAGCAGTTCTTTCTTTCCACCAATGAGAAACCTTGTTTCCCTAACTAATCGTAGAATAACTCAATTCTTCCTGCTTTGTGAAATTGGACTTGGATAGGTTTCACTGTACATTTATTCATTGAAACTTGGCCAAACCATCCGCAAAACTTCGCAGTTTTTCTTCCGATAATGGAATTGAGTTTTGCCCCAAATTGTCGGCAGAAATAAATCGATTACAACTCGAAGTTTCAAGATGAAATGTATGCTGAATACGAAGCATATACGGTAATTATATTCTAAAATAAATAAAAACCAATGCGACCCATGAAAAGCAACGAGTCAATGCTGCAAAATTTGAGGTTCAGATTTTTTGTACCAACACTTGAACATGCAGAAAAAAACTATAGTTTGGCCGTTGAAACCAATGATTTTAACCCATTTGAACATCTGAAAATTACTGCGAAACTAATTTTCTGGAACTTACAAGGACAGCAGAGCAAAATTTCTTGTCTTCAAGAGAGCTTTTAACTCCTTTGTCATGAAAGCAGTATTCACACGAAATGCAGGAATGAATCCCATTCAATCTACTGTATTTGCGTTTCGTTGCTCCGTATTTGCTTGAAACTCTGGTTCCACTTAAATTTCACCTTGAGAAGATTTTACATAAAAAGTTCAGGGCCCAGCATAAGAAAATATTCTTCAGTTCACCCTCAAGATAAATGAAGGCCTGGAAATCAGGAGAATTGATGTGAAACACGTTGCTGTCCAGTAAATGCGGGAAAAACATAGTTGACGATCGCGACGACCTGATTTCGAAGGCAGTGTAAGTGAATTATGACTTGCACATGATGGCATTCAAATGCCAGCCATCCACTCAAGGAACAAAGAACTGAGATCTCAAAAGGAAGCGGTTACAAACGGCGATTTCCTTCGGGCAAAAAGAAGTCCCACACCGTAATGTTAACCCACGCGATCCTCGCTCGATCTGCATGAATAATTTTATTCATTGCAAGACCATTCTGGATCCCTTGTTATTCAGAAAGCTTCTTCGGCGAGTGCCTGCAAGAAGGTTTGCATGAATTACAAGGAAATTTGCTGGACGTGCTCTTTTCTCGAACTTGAATTCCCAGAAAATGCGACATTATTCTCAGGAGACGTATCATTTAGAAATCATAAAAATCAAGCTCAGTACGGCTTTTGTTGTTGTTGATTGGACATCATACATTTCCTGAAGTTCAAAATTGACAGTATAACGGAGCGCATTCTAGAATTGATTAATGAAAAAAATTGACAGCCAAATTCCTATTTATGATTTCTGCAATCAGGGCTTTAAATTTTTATTGAATGTGGTTTTGTATTGCAGGAGCCG